CTCACGTAGAATTCAAATAAAGGGAAGGGCTTAAGTGCAAAGATTGTGACTCATGTGAATAGTGCCTTAAGGGACCTTTTTGTTAGAATTTATTTTCGTGAAAGTTCAGGGGCCTTGGTGCAAATGCGTTTTCCTTTATTGCTTTTATTTGGCAGAAATTTGAAAAATCATAATAAATCATAAAAAAATCTTAAAATAGCAAATGAAGACTTCTTAGAATACTTGAGTAAATCTATGTAGTTGAGTCATCTTATGATATGTGTTAGTAGGAGGTTTTTACTATTTTTATTTATCTATGTTAATTAGGGTTTTCTAGAAATAAATTCATATCAAAAGTTGTGTTGCTCTAAATGATGTGAAATTTTTATGGTAGGCAACTGATGCTATATGTGTGCTGTGGTAGAAATTTCAAGTTCATTGGATGCAGTATGACTGAGTTATTGATTTAACTTGTTTAGTACTTGATAAATGGTTTTAAATAAGTTATAATTTTTATGAAAGTGTAAAAATGGAAAATGTTGTTCCTCTACCTTTGTATAATGTTGTGATACCATAATAATATATAATATGGCCACGTGTTTGCAGAAAAATAGTGTGTTTTAGATTTATCTTGCTCTCACATGTTTTCTTACAATAGCAATTTGTCTTTTTTGTAATAATTAATCTATAAAACCTGAGTATGTAAGATTTGTACAGTAATCATGTTTTGTCACCATCTATCTCTCATAAAAATTTGAGATCCAAATAAGATGTTTGCAACATCACCTATAATTAATATGTGTTTTTTTATATATAGAAAAGCTAATGAAAGTTTGTTAGTAGATGCTTGTGTTTATACCATATAATACTTCTAATAATTGGTGCTTGGTAATGTGATTGCTTGGTTATAGTTAGGAGTTGTTTGGAGCTGCATATGTAGCAACAAAATGTTAGTTGTTAACAACATAAATGGTAAATGCATATAGTTGTATCTTTGCTGTTATGGCTGCATATACAGTTTTTGTGGTGGTGATATTTTCATGATGCAAATAATGTTTTATACAGATATGTTGAATACAAAAGTTGTAGATAATTTCCTTATCTTGCTTGTCCTAGAATTTCATGATTTTAGTCCTGCTGGTTTAGGAGTTATAGATTTTACAACTTTGCTATCAGCTTTTGCATGTGCTCTAAACAGATATGAATGATTGTATGTTTTGGCTTATTTAAACATGGAATCATGTATTAGTGATAATAGGAGAGTTTTAGTTCTTTTCCTAAGCTTTCTAAAAGTCTAAGATCACTGCTTTTAGTGGTCTAGAACTCTAGTTATTGCTGTTTAAAATGGAATGACAGATTCTATCCAAATCTTGACAGAGATGCCTTCTTGGTGTTGTTTAACCTTGTTAGCTGTAGAATCATCTTAAAATGATAATAAGAAAGTTATAGACAAATTAACAAGGCTTCTATAAAGTTAAGGATCATGCTTGTTGGATGAATATAACTTGAGATATGCATTTCTAAAGTTAATATCAGTTTTCTGTCCTCAGTTGTATAAGCTCCGCTTCATGATATATTTTGACCTTGTTATTTGTTGAATCAGATTTTGGTGTTAATAACAAAGTTTGAGCTAGTTTTATTAGATTTCCAGAAAGTCTTGAATCACACTTTTTTCATGCCTAGAACTCTGGGTATAATTAAAACAAGTGACTATGGTGCTGCTGTTCAGAATCTATGTTTGTACCAAAAATTGTTTGCTTCACCTTACTTTGCTTTGTGTGTTGCTAAGTGTGGCTCATGCCTTTGATGGTGTTAAGTTAATATACCTAAAACCTTGTGAAACTTGTGTCATGCTTGGTGCTACCTTCCTTGCTATCCTAGCATGATAGGATGTGGGATGTTTAATTAAGTAATGTGGAGTGCTTATATATGTTTGGTGTAACCTTGTGCTCCTCTTGAATACTTTTATGTGAGGCATCTCATATTGCTATTCTTTGCATTCATGCATTTGTATTGTTGCATCTCATCTAGGTACGCTAGATGCACCACGTGAAGGACATGATGTTGGAGCCGAACTCAAAGATGGAGTTTGGTGAATCCATCCAGAAGACGGAAGGACTAAACAAGTGTCAAGATGGGAGATGCTCGCCAAACGAGTGTCATCTAACAAACACTAACCTAGTGTTGGATCCCAAGCAAGCCCCAGAGCATTCTAAGCCTCCTATGTTTTTACAAATATCACTTGCATCATTTATGTTTGATGTATTACGTTATAGGAGTTGATTGGAAACACTTGATGCATATAACTTCCTTATCCAGAAATATACCTTAAACCCTGTGTAGGTCTAGGATCGAATATATGCTTAGCAATGCTTAGACCGGTAGAAGTCGGGTGATTTCGTGTCACTTGCGAGATATAGGTGGATACCGGAGTACAGTTGGCTATATTTGCTATCGTGGAATAGAACCTTTGGGTAATGTAACTAGAAGCCGGATGGAGACTATGTGTAGGTTGACTCATGTGATTCCGTCTGTGCCGATTAAGGACCGCATCGTTGGAGGCTCTCTTGTCATTTTGAACACATGCCTCTCACTTAGCTGGCCGGATAACTCGTTCCGACCACGAAGCTGAGTAGCTCAACTCAGGCCGGGCCTTGTTCTATCAAAGTACGCACTCTGGATGGTAGTAAGGATGTGTAGGGAGCCAGACGTGAGCCCAAGGGTAGGGTAGTCCTAATCGTTCTGGCAGCTGGTTGTCCCTGGTTGTGCGGCGCTGATCGAACCCACGAAATGTGTACTTGAGTTATACCAAAGGTGACCTAAGACTACCTTAGCGCAGATATGTCTGGGTTTGTGTTAGGAATAAATTCCTAGCTGGTTGAAATCGATTTGAATCGTCGTCTCTCCCGGATAGTGAGAAACTTGACGGAGCCCCTTCATCGTAGTAATTGGATTATAGAATATAATGGTTCTGATGAATATAAAAATCTTACACCGGCTATGGTTACTATTGTTATACTACTAAATGATATACCACATGGTTGGCACAGGTTAGTTGCTAATCTAGAGATGAATAGCTATAATTAACTTGATGACCGAATTATAAAATGTATAACTGAATTAGTGGCTTTTTATGCAAAATGTTGTCAAGATTGCTCTACTTATATAGCCTTGCATGATCCTTGGTGTCACTTTATTTTGGTTTATGACAGGTAAGTCTAGCTGAGTACCTTCTTGTACTCAGGGTTTATCCCACCATGTTGCAGGTGAAGTTCTCGGCCTGCTAAAGATGGTGGCTAACCGCCGGTGGGCTCGGCGACTCTATATAGTGTTCTTATCTATATGCTTTTGTTAGAAAATGTCACATATGCTAGCAATGTATTTGGAACTTATATTATTGTAATCAGTTGAAAGCTATGTTGTTTTCACTAATCGGTTTTGAAACCCAAACTTGTATTATTATTTGTGAACTCATTGTAAACATTATTTCCGCTGCAACTCTGTGTATATGATATGTATTTTCTTAATCGTACGATCTCGGTTGTGATATGGATTTATCGAGGTCCTTCATGACACTCGGCGGACTATCGGGTTTATATAAGTGAAAGTATATGCACGTCAACGTGTTAAACGGGGACAACCGTACTTGATCTTGTATAAATTGGGCGGTTCTGTCACAGCCACTGTTTGATTTCGATGCTCTACTACTCCATTTTGCTAAGGAGAATAAGGAGTAGTAGTATAGTGCTTGATCCCCTACTCATTGCAAAAAACTGAGAAAAGATGAGATGTAAACTCCCCTCCTCTATCTGTTCTCAGGGCTTTCAGCTTATTGTCAGACTCCACCTCAGCTATCTGCTTGACTTTCTTAAAGAAATCCAGAGCCTAATCTTTTGTTTTCAACATCTCCACCCACAAGTATCTGTTGTAATCATCAACTACAAGCAAAAAATATGAGCAACCTCCTAGTGTTTTAGGAGTGATGTGACCACACAGATCTGCACAAACTAGATGCAAGCCTTGGTTTGCTCTAACATTTGAAGCTTTGGGAAAAGGAACTCTGTGCTATTTTCCAAGAACACACCCATCACAAATTTGTTCAACCCTGTTCACTGGTGGCATACCTTCTACCATCCCTTTGCAACTGAGATCTCTAAGAGCTCTAAAATTTAGATGGCCAAACCTTGCATGCCAATGCCATGCTACATCATCAGATTTTGCTAACATGCATACTGGTGACTCTAAACCAAACTTGATTGTGTACAACCTATTAGCTGTTCTAGGAACATAAATCAACAGGGCACGTTCTTGATCAAACACACACATCTTGCCATCTTCAAAAGTGACCTTAAAACCTTTTTGTTCTAACTGGCCCAGACTAACAATGTTGCTTTTCAGTGTTGGTATGTAGTAAACATCAGTTAGTACCTTGTGCTGCTGGTGGCAACCTTGCATCACCATGGAACCGACGCCATGGATCTCGACACGTGAACCATCACCAAACCGCACTGTGCCACGAACACCTTCGTCAAGCTATGTTAGCGCCGACCGTGTTTTGGTCATGTGGTTACTGGAGCCGGTGTCCAACACCCACACGCCATCCGGGATGTCCACCAGGATCATGCTCTCCGCCAGGTGGACGATCTGTGTTGGCCCACGCACGACATCGATGTCGCACATCGCCAACATCAACGCTAGCTGTTCCGCGTCGCCCACAGCCATGTTCGCCTTCGGCTGCTTGGCCTCCTTCTTCTCCTTCTTTGGGCGTTTGCAATCTTGCGCCCAATGCCCGTATATGCCGCAATTACGGTGGTGCCCCTTCCACCTTGGCGTACCCTTGGAGGTTAGTTTGACTGCTCCTGAGCCGCCGCCGCCTTGCCCTTCGAGTGGCTGCCACTAGATCTGCCGCTACCTTCCTTCGAACCGGGATGGAAACGATGCTTGTGTTTCTCAAGCCAGTCCTCCTTGGCAAGTAGGTGATGCCCCATTTTGTCGACGATCTGCTCAACCTTGTCGTCGAGTCATTCCTCCACCGCACGCAGGTGCCCCACCAGCTCCTCCACCGTCATCACCTTGAGATCGTAGAACATCTCGATGGAGACCACCACCTGGGTGAAACGGGGAGGCACCACGTGGAGAAATTTCTTGACCACGCGGGTGTCATCCACCGTCTCCTCGAGCGTCTTGAGGTTGGTGACAAGATTGGTGATCCGCATGCCAAAGTCGTCGATAGACTCACCCTCCTTGAATCCGATGTTCTCGAACTCCTTCAACAACTTCTGGGCATTGACATCCTTCACACGATCGACACGAAGCCGCATCGTCTACACCACCTCCCACGCCTCCTTAACGGTCTTGCGGCCCCCTAGTGTCGCCCACGTCTCCTCGGGGACAGAACGCAGGAGCGCCCCCATCGCCTGCCGATCTTGGGATCTCTTGACGTTGGTGCCTAGATCGATAACATGTCATATCTCCATCACCTCCAGGTTGCACCGCATTAGCATCGCCCACTCGGTATAGTTCGACCGATCCAACATCGGCCACATCAACGAGCTCTCCCGAACACCGGGCATGGAGCTCACCAACGTGCCATCACCCATCTTGTTCTCCAGCTCCCTGTGTGGGATCACAAACTTCTTCTTCGGAGGTTCTCGGGATGGGCTAACGGACCCACTGTAGAACATCAACCGGCTCTGATACCATTTTGTTAGGGCTGGCAGATCGCTGATGCTATGAACTCACCGACGCATGGCGTTGCTTAGTGCGCGGTCACCGTGGACTTAGGCGAACACACACACATACGCGAGAGAGAGAGAGACAACTGTTTTCACTACGGATGGTGCAGCTTTCCTTGATGCATTTGCTTGTATTAAAACCAGGCTTGATCCGAGACTCCTGCCACAACGTGCAGCTGTACGATGCGCCATCTTTTGTGGTCACCCGTGCGACATGCACGGCGTGCACGCCATGGCGGAGCCAGCCCTCCTTGGACACGGTCAAAGCGCAGCGCGTGCAGTCTCCACGCTGCCCCGATTCTACGCGATAATTACAAACATGTTTGCCTAAACAACAGCCTAACTAATGCATCTACCATGCTGATACATGTCTATCGCGATTACAAGGAATCAAACTCAACAATGACCACCGTGACATGGGAGATGGATGGCTCCCAGGCATGCAGGGCAAATACATCATCGAGCATGAGGGCCATGTGCGCGTCCTTGTCCGACTGGAACAACTAGAAATTGTTGGTGATGTACCAGAGGGACCAGTAAGGCCAGGTGACCCACTCCCACGTCTGTCCTTTGAGCTACGCAACACTCTTGCTGCCGATAGGGAGGCAATCGACTGGGCTGATGCACCGGAGCTGCATGACAAGATAATCTTCTAGAGCCAGGGCAACAGCTGCTACGTGCTCCCAGAGAGCGACCACTTTATCGGGATAAGAAAGAACTTCGTCTACTTCTTCAGTTGGTAGCGCCAGGAGGCAGCGGTGGGAGATGGTGTTGCTAGTGGCGGCAATCCTTTTGGGTACTTCTTGTGTAAGTGGGATATGATCAGGCGCGTTGCCACTGTCGTGAGGAAGCTCCCTGGCGTCTGGATGTGGCACAAGCCCGGCAGATGGTTCCTGCCTACTTTCAAGTACTAGACGCCGGGATTCCTAAGTCCCACGGCTCTAGGCCTGAGTTCGAGAGGAGTGCACTCATCTATCTTATGTCATGTCATGTTATGAGACTCATTTTGTGTGAGCCAATGTTTGGCTTTATTTCATTCTATGCATCTGCATATCTATCTTAGGGAGTCATGTCATGTTTGCTTTTCCTAATTAATTTTCATCAAGAATATCCAGTTGCTTGTTTGTTTTCTCTGATACCTTCTATATATTTATATTTATATGTCGAATAACAATTCCAGATCTACAATTTATTTGAAGATGATGCATATATGTGCTTTCATTTCTGTTTGATATCAGACTATTTGGGGTTGTGTTGCTTGACGCCTTGAGCACACAAACACCCAACAGATCTGCAGTCCTTCTACACTACACAAGTCATGACCAAAAGTTTTCAGTGCCCTTGCTGCTCTCCACTGGAAATGTGGATGTCCAAAGATATAGAAGTGCTTTGATCAAAGCAAACAATTCTCTAGGGCAACGGTTGCCGCTGATGATAAACATTTGCCCATATGCTAGCCATGTAATGGCTTCACAGATTCCTAGTTCCTCAGATGGATTTATTAATAAAAAAAGACCTAGCTAGATCTGAATTCATTCAACTGAGAGAATTTGAATAAGGTGCATGGCGGCTTTACATGCATGTGCACACCATTTTTCAACTGTACTAACCAAGAAAATTAGTTTAGCAATTGTATAAATCTAATTTTTGGCTTAAAAATTGTTTGTTAACTGCTACGTAGAAGTTACAATTTGCTACTGCTTTACGGTAAAAACACATTTTCAATTATTCTCAATTACATGTAACTTCCTATGCTTTGTGGGTGAAGATTTAAGTCGAGTTTATTCCCTGCTCTATCAAATATAGCAATAGGAGATAACTTTGTGAAGATTTGGTTAATTAATTGTTTAGTTGAATTGAACCCACGTACATGTACTATACTATGTCTGAATCAAAAGGCATCTAAACAAATGTTCTTGTCAATCTTATCTCACTTCATGTTAATACTACCTCTCGCACAAGGCATCCAAATAAAATTTGATGTTTACCATTTGAATGGTCAGATGATTCTTCATCAGTCCCTTCGGTAATATTAGTCTGGTGATTGTATATATCACTGTTTCATATCTCCATGCATCCACCAGATACAATCCAGAGTCCAGACAACATGGTGAAGCTATATGTACCTAATGTAATTTTTTGTGAAGTGGAATGTAGTATCCTAATTGTTCATCTTGATCTCCATTAGAAAATAAAAGCAGTCTTCTCTTGCAATTTTTTCATTGCTTAAGATTTTACATCCCCAGGTTTAACATTATCTTGTGTTCCAGATGAGTGTGCTCATCCATCTTGTGTCATATGTGATGTTACGAGTCTCATGTTGTGTCAGCCAATGTTCGGTTTTCATTTTGTTCTAGGGAGTCATACATCTTAGGGAGTCGTGCTATGTTTGTTTTTCCTAATTAATGTTTATCAAAGAATCAAGTTTAATATGTTTGTTTTCTCTAAGACTTTTCATATTTATTATGTTGAATAAATCCAGATCTACAATTTATAGATATAAAGGTGATGCATATTGGGACCAGAATGTTTGGGGTTAGGTACTTAGGTTGCTTGACCACACATACACCCTACAAATCTGCAATCATTCTACACAAGTCATGGCCCAAAAAATTCCAGTGCCCCTCTTGCTCTCTACGGAACATGTGGATATATCATAAATGCTCAGGAGCTTCAATCAAAGCAAGAACACTCTAGGGCAAAGTTGCCATCCCTGATAAGGCAGAAGCATTGTTGAATCAATGAAGCACGGTGAAGAATTTCAGAATTTAGGCGAAGAAGAGACAGTTATTTAAGTATATCCTGTCTTCTTCTCAAATGTTGGTGAATTGATTGATCTCTTCGTGTTGATCTTGTTGTTGTCCTGGTCATCTGGCCTAAATCATTAATCCTTCAGCTTTATAGCTATTGGGAGTCATGGAACTTATTGACCTTCAGAACTACGCAAAAGAAGTGAGCAATAAGGAAGGATATTAGGTGTTAACATCTTCTGGAGTTGCAGCTATCAAATAATATCATCTAAGGAGAGCTCGTTGAAAAGTTTAAACAAGAATATGGTCATGCACAATATACAGTTCATTCATGCATTGATCACCACCTTTCAAGTCTTGCACACAATTAGTACTTGTTTCAAATACTGTTGCTTGCACAGCTCCAATTGAATGCATTCTATATCAAGTAATCAACTTGTTCGTATGCTCCTTGAACCTCACATGCAGATAACAGAATTGTGTATTTTATGCACACTTTGATACAAGAGAGGGATCAAGGAATGTTTGTTTAAACATAATGTCTATCAGTCATGGCCATAGTGAAGGACACGTGGACGCCTAAGAGGGGGGGGGGTGAATTAGGCAACTTAAAAACTAACTCTAAACTATGGCCTCTTTTTCTACTTCTAGCAAAACCTATGCAAAAGATAATCTATCTAGATGTGCAACTACGGTTTTGCTAGTGTGTTGCTATCTCTACCGCAAATGATAATAATATGATCAATGTAAATGCGGAAGCTTAAAGAGCAAGGTAGAGATATGCAAACTCCCGTCGACGACTCCGGTATTTTTACCGAGGTATCGAGAAGCGCAAAGCTTCCCCTAGTCCTCGTTGGAGCCCCTCGCATGAGGAATCCCTCGCAAGGGCCAAGCTCCCGGTCGGGTAACTCCGTGGATAGCCTCGGGCCTTCCCCACGCGCAAGTGGGTCTCCGATGTGCCTTCCGGCAAGCCTCTCCCGGATGCTCCTCGCCGTCTTCACTATCAAGCTTTCGGCCGAAACGCCGCGGGCCTTGTTCCCTCCGGTACACGGTGGCGGCCACACCACAAACGCGGTTGGTGTGATCTCGCAAGACTTCAAGCCCCTCCGATGTACAACACTTGTGCTCACAAGCACGGGGTGGCAAGAGGTATGCAAACCTCACTTAAACACTAGGCAAACACCTAGAGCAAGCGCATAAGCGATGGTCTAATCAACCTAAGCACTTCGCAAAGCACTTATGCTAATCACCTAATAAAACACTAAGCACTATGCATGTGGAGATCACTCAAATGGTGTATCAACACTCTTGATATGTTTCCTCAGCTCCACACTACTCAAATGGCCGGTTGGGGGTTGTATTTATAAGCCCCACTGAGAAAGTAGCCGTTGGGGTCGAACTCCCGCAATTCTGCTACTGACCGGACGCTGAATCGTCCTGACCGGACGCGTCCGGTCGTCCCGACCGTTGTAGCCGCGAACTACCGATCGGACGCCGCGTCCGTCGCCGCTCACACGGACGCGTCCGGTCGCGATTCAGCGCGCTGAACCTCTCAGACTCGATCGGACGCTGCGTTCCTGCGTCCGGTCGGTTCGTTGCCGCCAGCGTCCGGTCCTTGCGTTGATCGCTTTGTCTGCCGAGCCACCGGTCCAGCGTCGGTCGCGCTTCAGCGTCAGTCCGGTCCAGCGTCCGGTCGCCTCTGCGAGCTCGTTTCTTTGCGATCTTGCGCACGGCTTGGTTCCTATCTTCATGCTTGGACTTTGCTTGACATCTTGGGTCTTTTCTTGTGCTTCTAAGGTCTTGCTTGAGGTGTTGATCATCGGATCATCACGTCGCCTTCGTCCAAGTCACGTCTTGCACCCTATTGGACTACAAAACAAACACTTGCAAATTCATTAGTCTAATTTGGTTGTGTTGGTCATCAAACACCAAAATCCAAAGTAAATGGGCCAGGGGTCCATTTTCCTTACAATCTCCCCCTTTTTGGTGATTGATGACAATACGACCAAAGCAAGCAAATGATAAAAAAAAATTTAAATTTAAAAATTATCTACTTGCTAGGATGCAATGCAAAGGACAGGTTATATGATACTAATTGATAGATACCAATTAAAACTTTACTTAAAAACATGTCTTGCCCTTACAAATGTCCCCATGTGATATTATGGATTAAAGCCTATCTTTCTAAAAAAAATTCTCCCATTACATAGACTAATCCATAATTCACTTTCCTCCCTTTCTCGGACCATTACCACTTGTAGACATCAACTTGATGCTTGCCTTTGGTCCTTCAAATTCTCCCCCTTTGGCATCAAACACTAAAAAGGAAGACATTAGTAGCACAAGGGAGGGTCAAATTTCATGATCCTTTGTGTATAGAGTGAAATGGATCACAAAATTTGACTCTCGCATTATATAGACTAAGCTCCCCCTAAATATATGCATACATATGGTAGAAAGCAAAGCATATGCATAATTAGCAATTTGTTGCACGAGAGAGTTTAATCTATATAATGCATAGAGAAAGCATATAAATATGAAATGAAATCAACATGATGATGCCAACTGAAGAACGATGCTTCTCTTCGGGGACTCCATTTTCCTTGCAATGAGACCACTACACACATGATAAACTTGAAAAAGGTGTTAGTCTCAAAGCGTCCATCTTGTAGATGATCCTCCCCCTAAATTTGTGCATGGAGACATGGAATACTTGTAGTACTCATGCACAATTGATTTTGGAGTTAAAATACCACTTGAAAGATGATATTTGGGAGAAAATTATCTACAATTTGGACTTTGGCACATATTAGATAAACAATAGTAAGACAAGCTATGTGCCATGCTCCTAAGCAATTTTAAACCATGTAGGTTTGCTCCAAGGGTTACAAATGAGACCGAGCAAG